AGGAGACACTGGGTGAGAGGCGGGGGCATTCTTTTCAAAATCACCTTTCTGCAGACAGGTTTCCAATCTGATTCAAGGCCACTTCCCAGGCATCTGGTTTCTGTAGCTCAGAGAATTAGCGCTCCTGATAAATTGCTCTGAGTTCCAAGGCTACTGCTGTCATATTGCATTCTCTGACCATTTTCCAGGTCCCCACCTCAACCCATTAGACTCCATTCCCATGTAGCATCCAAATCAGTTTTCTGACAAAACACACTGGAGAGAGCTAAGCCAGTACAGCACCTGAAGCATATAATAGATGCTCAAAAAAAAAAAAAAAAAAAAAAAAAGTGTTTTGGAGCCCTGGAGTGAGGAATGGAGGTGGGGATTACATCTCTAAACCTCTGCAGGTTTTCACAGAGCACATGCTAGTGGCAGAGTCAGGCTGAGGGGTTAAGTGAGGGAGAGGAGAGACATGCTTTCAACTCAACAATTGATTCCTTGATGGGGGTGGGGGCGGAATGAATGGTGAGCTCCCATCTCTGGATAAGTATGACCACATGATGGGGACACTGTAGAAAAAAAATTAAACCTCAAATGGGAATTTAGATTAGCAAATCTTCAGGGTCTCTTTTAACCCTGGGATTTTATGAGATTCTTGAGGAAGAAAAAAGGGAGAGGCAGAAATAAAAAGAGACCAGGAAGGAGAGAGGGGAGGGAAATGAAAGAATAAAATTTAAAAGGAGAAAGGAAGGCAGGCCAGAGGCTAGGGACCATTCTATGCATGTGTCAAATGTTCAGACAGAAATGGGAAAGTTTCCAAGAGGACTGATATCTCAGTGGGCAGTCAGTGCAGTGTCATGGCACCCTGGTCCCCTGCCTCCAGCACCCACCCATTCCTATCCTATGGGCAGAGCCTTTGGGCCTGGCCTTGCTCTAGGAGCATGAGGTCTAGATAAGCAGTGTGTGTTCATCTGTTAGGAAGCTTTTCCTGGGACAAAGAAGGTACAGATTTCTCAGCAACTCTGCATATTCCCCTGGGCACTCAGGATCCCACGGGTCTCCAGGAGCGCCCCCAATCCTTAGGATAGTATGGGCAAGAAGGATCCCTTCTGGCTCCTCTTCCCTCAATATCATGACCAGAGGATTGCATTGGACCCAAATCAATAAACACTCAGGGGCCCAGCTAGGCCTGTGCCCAAATGCAATCATGTGGATGAATTCTTAAACTAGTCACAGGAATTGGGCCAGTCCCTTCCCTCTGCTCAAAGGCAGCATTTACAGGCAGAGCAAAGCAGCTCTTCTCCTAAAAGACTGTATTTCTGAGTTCTGTCCCTGACAGTGGGGTGGCTGCAGTGGCAGAGCTTGGGCTGTGACTCTGGTAAAGAAATTTTTCTCTAAGACAGCTTTGCTGGTCTGGGCAGGGAACTTGGGCTCCAGCCCCGGGAAGTGTCATAGCTACCACCTCTATCAAGAGACAGTCTAGGATAGAATGCTGGGAGTCTGGACCTGGGCCTAGTCCCCAGCCTGGACTGGTCCAATTAGGAAGACCTGATACCCAAGAGAGAATAGGGATGGAATCTTCATCTGCTCCCCTCATATCTATTTCTTTCCTCTTCTACCTCCGTTCCTGGCCACTCCCTGTCCTATAGGGGGATTCAGTTGAAATACACAGCCAGCTCAACAACAGCACTCTAGGCTGATCTTGACTTGGAGCGCAGCATCCACTCTGCTCCTCCTGTTCCCCTCCCCAAGAAGCTCCATTTCTGGGACGATCAAGTCAGTGAGCTTTAAACCTGATTATACATGTTCACTCACCTTAGCCCACCCTGCAGGCTCACACAACCTGACGGTTGTCCATATCCCATTCACTGAGAACACTCCTCCTCCCCAACACACATGCACATGCACTAGGCTCCTGGGTCAGCTTGTTCTGTGGAATTAACCTTACCACATTGCCCCTTCTCTGCTCTCCATCATTTGCCTGCTCCATAGTTTATTCCTGACTTCTTTTGTGCAAGCCACAGCAGTCTTGCCCCTGTGAATCTCTCCCCTGGCTTCCCAGAGAACTCAATGGCTGGTGTTGGGACACAGAAAGGAGGCAGTCCTCACACATACACAGCCACACCCCATTACAACGACAGTGTCGACCCAAGGAGAATTGTACACAGCACATTCATGCACACACCCGGGGACTCTTCATTTTAATCTACAGAGAGACCCACCCTTTCCTTGTGAGCCCTCCCTACTCACTACCAGCTTCCCCCTTATCACGTGGTTTCTCCTCCCCACCCCGGAGCTGGAGGCACCAGGAGCAGGCCCCGGTGTAAGCACCTGGCAATATCACAGGATAGTCAAATGCGAGATCTCACAAAGAATCTCAACGGGAGGTCCTCGGGGCTCCTTCATTCTGCAGTTTCCTCCTGTACCCCCAGGCTCCTCCCTCTGTCCCCTGACAAAGACTCACCAAGCCCAGTTGAAATCAATTGTTTTATTGACTGTGTACATACAGATGCCTTTAGAAAAGAGCGTGGCCGAGGAAAGGTTGCTACTCCGCCCCGGGCCGCACTTGTGCTGAGCTCCACGGACAGCGCTGGTCCCGACGCCCGAAATCCCCCACCCAAGCCCGACGCTTTCCTTATAGAACAACAACAAAAGGACCCCGCCCGAGTCGCCTCACCGCGTCCACCCTCCCCTTCCCTCCCGTCCTCCCTGCCCACCTGCCTGCCCGCCCCGCTTCCCGCGCCCCAAAAAGGGTCACACTTTACAGGACACAGACTTTTCTCCTACAGACCACGCTTGACTAGAACTACACGCCAGGGAAATACTATTGTCGCAGAAGGAGGGGCGGGGCGGGGAAACGCGAGGACTGAGGGACTCTTCCCCACCTAGATCCTGCTTTATGTCAAGCGCAGGCTTTGTGCAAACCAGGGCGCACGCCCTCACAAGGGACCCCGCCAGGGAGACCATAGTTGGCTTCCTATAGCCCCAGCGCTTCTCGATCTGAGGTCTGGGCCTCATGCAGCAGCGGGAGCAGAGCTGTCCCGTGCACCCATCTCCGAAACCCCAACTCACCCACAACGAAATTGGCCCAGGACCCAGCCTACACTCTAGCGGAAAAAGGGTGCGCGGTTCTGTGGCGTTGTAAGTTAGGAGAAAGGGCTCAAGAAAAGGTCTCCCGACCCTCGAGACACACACACACACACACACACACACACTTTTCCCAGAGGCTGGGAAAAGACTGTTAGCACCAGACCCGGAGTGTCGCTGTCATTGAAAACAACGAAAATATGAAAATCGGAGCGCGGAGCTGAAAGGCGCCCTAGGCACCCAGCTCGGCTCCAGCTGGTCAGAAGCAGAGTTGAGTGGGGGTGTAGCTAAAGGGTTTGGTTCCCAGTCGCAAGGGGGCTTTAAATAAAAAATAGAGAGTTGTCACCGAACCCTGGCTTTCAGGACATGCACCCCGGAAAGGACAGAGTAGGGGTCGAGGCGTGACCCCACAGCGTACTACACTAGGGACATCTGTTGCAGATCCCGGGCCGACCCCTGAGCCACAGCATTACCACCAGATGTTTCCAACGTCTTCACCCATTTCCTAAGGCTCCAGGGCCCACCGTGGGGCGGGTTGTGGTGCCGGTTTCGAAGGTAACTATTTCGTGGGAATGGAGATGTGGGTTTTGCCTCACAGTCAGCGGTGGTGTCTTATACGAGGAGAGAGGAGCAGGGAATTGTGCTTGCCGAAGGGGGACTCGGTCCACAAGGACAATGACAATCGTGGGGTGGTGCGGGACTGGTGAAATCGTCCCACTCCCCACTAGCAGTCCCCAGGAGTCAAGGTTGGGGGATGGTAAGGGGGTGCAGTAAATGAGGGGGGCATAAATCCTGCCAGCCCTAGGCTTCGGCTCCCTGGCACCCAAAGGTGGGGGATGAGAATGGGCAGGCCGGAGGGCTAGGGGTTCAGCCCTCTGTCTGCCTGTAGTTGCCATTAATCTCCTGGGCAATGTTGACCGCCTCGGCACCCAAGGGCAGCCGATCACTGTACTCTGAGCCCGCCTCGAACTCTTCTTGGTTGGTCTTGGACTGGGACTCCACCAGCGAACAGGTGACCAGGCTCTCCTCTCTCTGCAAGTCCCCGCCTGGGCCCCGCTGCTCCGCGTCTTCGTCAAGACCCTCCCCGGGGGCTTCCTCTGGTCCCTCGCCGCCCGTTTCGCCACCTGTCGGATAGCTTTTCTCGGACTCGAGGTAGGAGGCACGCGGGTCAAAGTCGGCGGCGATGTGCTTCTCCATGGGATCGAGGGCCTGCGGCCGCAAGATCAGACGGTAGGGCTTCCCCGGGTGTTTGGCCAGCAGATGGCAGCACGCGGCGCCCAGCAGAGGCACCGTGGCCAGCATCAGGAGGAACACGCTCACCGCCACGATAACCAGCAGCGAGGGCAACTCTTTCTTGGTGGCGAATACAACTTGCACGTGGCAGGCCTCCCCTGCCAGCGCCAGGCACACGGAGTAGTTGGTGCCAGGCCGAAGGCCGCGGAACCAATAGGCGTTGACGCCTTCCTCCACGCGCGACCACTGCACTGCTGAGCCGCCTCCCGCCGGGCACAGATAGAGCAGGCGCAGGGGTCGCCTCCCAAGCCGTACCGCTCCGCCAGCCCCGCCATTCCCAGGGCCCCAGCGCGCCGCCAGCGGCGTCAGCTGCACCCGCGCCTCGCGCTCCGCCACGTCCAGCGCGATGACACCCAACTCAAAAACGTGAGGCTTCAGGTCTGTGCTCTGGTTGAACGCGTGGTTGGACACGTACCGCGAGGGGTCCCCTTGGTCACAACGCTGCTCCTCCACCGGGTCCGCAGAGACCTGGTCTTCCGCCTCATCTCCCTCACCTGCCTCCTCCTCCGGCCCCGCCCCCGTCTCTCCAAGGATGCTACCCTGGGCGAGGCCTTGGCCTTTGATTTTGCGCTCAGGCTTGGATGGTAAGACGCTGTTGCCCCGGCCTTTGGCTGTGGACTTGCGTTCGGAGGTTGGGGCCTGCCCCTCGGGGTCTCCCCCTGAGCCAGGAGCGTGCTTTGGCGGCCCGGCAGCCGTCACCGACACGCGTACTGACGTGGAGTTGACACCCAGCTCGTTGTGGGCACGGCACGTGTAGATGCCTGCCTCCTTGGCACTCAGGAGGGGTACCAACAGGGAGCCATTTGCGAGTGTCAGGAAGCGTGGGGTGGCTGGGGGCGCGGGCCAAGCGGGTGCCGGACTCGGAGTTGGGGCACCCGTCTGCGTTGGCCCGTCCCCCTCTCCTTCCTCCTCCCTGTCTTCTGCCCCGTCCTCGTCGTCCTCTCTGCTCTGGACCGGCGGCTCTAAGACTATGGTACCACCTGGGATCTGAAGTTGCCACTGCAGGCGGGGCGTGGGGTGCCCTTCGGCGACACAGTGTAACATGAACGCCAAGCCAGCGCGCAACTCGCCGCCCGGAGCCTCGGGAGGCGGCTCGGCACTCAGACGCACGCTGGGCGGTGCGCAGTTCAGGACCGGCAGACGGTGCACCGGAACGCCCTGCAGCGCGGGAGGCGTGGCACACGCAATGGAATCGGGCTCCGGTAGCGAGACCCGGGTGCTCGCGGCCCATGCCTGCAGCCACAGAAGGCTGCAACCGCAATGGAAGGGGTTATGATAGAGTTGCAGATGTGACAGCGCGCTTAGCGCGTCGAAGGTGCCGGGAGCCAGTGTACGCAGCTGGTTGTTGTTGATGCGCAGGGAGCGCAAGTCTGGCAGCGCACCGAGTGCATCCCGGGGAAGTGAGCTCAATTGGTTGTGGTTCATTTTGAGCAGCTGCAGCGCGCTCAAGTTACGCAGGTCGCTCCATGGGAAGCTGGTTATGAGGTTGTGGCTCAGGTCGAGGTTCTTGAGCTGGTTCAGCACAGCCAGCGCTCCGGACTCCACGGTGCGCACCTCATTGTGCGCCAGCCACAGCGACGTAACTTGCGTGACGTCGGCGAAGGCCCCGCGCCGCAGCACGGTGATCTTGTTGGCCGACAGACTAAGCGTGGTCACGTTGGCCGGCAGTCCTTCTGGCACCTCGCTCAGCTCTTTGTAGGCGCAGTCAGCGAACTGGTGAGCGTACTTGTCCACGCAGGCGCACGGCTCTGGGCACGCTCCCGCCATTCTTAGCAGCGCCCAGGCTAGCCACAACACCCACATGGGCACCATAGCGGATTCTGCAGGTGGAAGCAGGAGAAGAAGGGAGACGGTGACTCACCGAGTCCCAGCTTCCTTCCCCTGTAAAGCTCTGCCTCCTCAAACTCATCTAGAGTAGGCCCAAGGGCTCCCATTACCTCCTGTGTGCCCAGGAACCTTTCTTGGGCAGGGGTGGAGCTTAATAAAAGTCTCGGAATTAAATGCATGCTTCCTCTCAGGGCCGTGACTTACTTTTCCAGCGGCCTCCTACCTTTCTCTTTTTCCCCTGCCTACCTTCTCACCCTGGCGCTGGCCTCTTTGCCCTGGTTCTGCCGCTGACCGGCCTGTGGTGGGCTCTTCACTGATCCCTGACTATTTCTAGGCCTTTGTTTATTCACGTGAAAGAGATACACAGAAAAGGTATTTTTGTCCGTGACTGGTGTCCTCCCTCGAACTCTTTGTCCCATGCACAGCACTCGCACACACGCCCATATATGCGCCCAAACAATACAAACACACGCTCGGGCACCGCCATCAAACCGCCAACTTCTGTAGGGGTTTGGAGGTTCACAACACATTTCGCAGACACGCAAACACAAAGGCACCCAGACACAGACAGGGAGACCTCATTGTTCTCTCAGCTGAACCTAGCATTTGTACAGCGTTCTCCACTACGGTGCAAGGCGCTTTCCTGTTCATCGTGGGAATTGACAGACACAAGCCTTCACTCAAAACCAACGCACACACGGGGACACAAACGCGCACTGGCGCGTGCACACAGCCCTCCACTGAGACCGAAATCCCAGTGGATCATCAATGCGGCGGGTGGCAAGAGCCGTGGGATCCGCGGAAGCAGACTCGCAGGCCGCTCTCCCGCAGTAATCAAAGCTGCCCGCTCTGGGTTGAAGCTCCCACGAGTGGAGAACCAGGGCTGCTCAGTCAGCCTTCTGTCTGAGGAAGAAGGCCCTCCAGGAGCATTGGGGGGAACGTCATTAAAGGTCCCTCCCGGTCTCGCAGAGCCCAGGCGGCTCTGGGGGAGGGGGAAGGGTGTCCTCAGCCGACGGGTCATGGGGGCTAGCTACCTCTAGCTAAGGAAGTAGAATAATGTTCAAGATTTGGCCCCATTTTTCGAAGCTCTAGGATGCCCAAGGGCCCTCCTTCCAATAGAAACTATGCCCAGCCACACAAACGCACTTACACAGACAGCACGCTCCCGCCTAGGGCTCCAGGCAGGTTTGACAGAGCCCCTCCCATATCCCTGCCTTTGGGAACCCTTATCCCCCATTCTGCCTTTGCTCCTAGGGAAGGGCCCCTCCCCTCCTATCCCCGGTCTCAGCCAACACCCTAGGCGGGATCTAGCCCTACCTGGATCGAGGTTGTGGGGCGGTCCGGCGGCTTACCCTCTGCTCACTGACTCCCGGGGCGCAGCCTCGGGCTTCAATCCCTTCTCCAGATTCGATGTCACGGAGCCAGGACGACAGCCCTAGGGGGCTTCCCACATCTGTTGCTGCGACTGTGGAGAATTCCGATGGGGGGAGGAGCAGGGAAAGGAACGGGTAAGTTTGAGACTCCCCTGGCCCTGAGGTCCCACTTCAGTTTTTCCTTTCGCGTCTGTTTTCCCCACCTCTCGCCGGCTGTGCAGATTGAAGAGAGTCCTCGCGCGCTCCCGGCTGGGCAGGGACGCGCACAGCCTCTCCCACCTCCCGCATCGTCTACATTTGTTAAAGCCATAGAGGCTCTACTCCTGGTTGAGGCACGTTGGGGCCCCTACGCCCACCGCCCTCTTCTGGGCTCTTCCCAGTTCACCGCACCTCCATAACCCACGTCCCCACAAGACTTACACATCTGCAAACATTGCCATTATTCCTTATTACACCGACACCCCCTCACGTTCAAACACAGTAGCACAGACCTTCACCCCCTCCACACAGTTGACCTTCACATGTTAGAATTATCCATCGTCATGTAATAATCGCGTGGACGTGTTGAGTTTTCGCAACGTTTACACACATTTTCAAAGGCACACCTTCACTGGGACACTCACCAGCCTTCCCCTCCCGCACGTACACACATTCACGCGCACTCACCCTCATGTACGGATCCCTCCAGGGCCCCTGAGCTTCGGGGCTAATTGAATTCGAGCTGTTCTTAAGCTCCGCAACACGTGAGACAAACCATCTTTGAGGAATTTGGGGGAAGGTAAAGCGCACGACTGAAGAGGGTCGTGTCTTTGCCTTTATACTCTTTTTGCAAATGCAGGTTGTGGAGCAGACAGACCTCCAGCGGGACCCGCTGCGCGCTCTCGCGGACCCGT